CTTATTCATTGTCCAGCTTTTGCATGCGTATGAGGCAATTGAAAATACCATGGCTTGGGTCAGGAGCACCTTAGTCCTCAAAGTGACATCTAAGCCCCATGAAAACAAGGCCTGAGTTTGCTTTTGCACTCCGGTGCGAAGCCCTGGTAGCGCAGTGGTTAAGCACTCTGCTGCTAACCAAAAGGTCTGCAGTTGGCAACCACCAACCACTCTGCGAGAGAAAGATGTGGCAGTGTGCTTCTGTAAAATTACAGCCTTGGAAACCCTGTGGGACAGTTCTACCCTGTCCTATAGGATATGAGTCGGAATCGACTTGACGGCAACAGGTTTGCTGTTTTTGTTTGTTTATATCTCCAATGCCTGGCATGTTGTTACTGTTAGTTGCCATGTGGAGTCGATTCCGACTCATGGTGACTCCATGTGTACAGAGTAGAACTGCTCTATAGGATTTTCAAGGCTGTGACCTTTTGGAAGCAGATCACCAGGCCTGTCTTCCAAACTGCCAGGCTTTCGGCTGATAGTCGATAGTTGTGTGCTTAACAATTTGTACCACCCAGGGACTCCTCTGGCACATAAAAAAAACACACACAAAAAAAAAACCCATTGCCATCGAGTCAATAGTGACTCGACTTATAGTGACCCTATAGGACAAAGTAGAAATTCTTATAGGATTTCCAAAACTAAATCTTTGGGAGCAGATTGCCACATCTTTCTCCCAAGGAGCAGCTGGTGGATTCAAACCGTCAGCCTTTCATTTAGCATCCCAGCACTTAACCACCATATCACGAGGGCTCCTTCTCTGGCACATACCAAACCCTCTGCCACTGAGTTGATTTGGACTCATAGCAACCCTATAGGACAGAATAGAACTGCCGCATAGGGTTTCCAAGGAGTGGCTGGTGGATTCAAACTGCTGATGTTTTAGTTCGCAGCCAAGCTCTTAGCCACTGCGCCACCCAGGCTCCTCTCAGACACATAGTAGACACTTAAGGAATGATGTGTTAACTAAAAACCTGGAGGATTGTGATCCCCTCTCCACCACCACCATAGCACACACATTGTACAGATAGGGAAACTGACTGCCCAGAGTCAAGGGGGCACATCAAGTGAGTGCCTGAGCCAGAACTAGAACTTAGGTCTCCTGACTCCAACCTTGAACTCTCAGCACCATGCTTGCTGTTTGATAGGTGGGAGATGAGGGCATCACTCGGATAAAGGCAGAAGGCGGGAAGGTTTAGGCATATTTTATTGGGCACGCCTGCCTCCTGCCCTGCACTCAGAGGGGCTGTCCGACCTTACCCGCCCTGCATGGGTTCCCTCCTACCAGACAAGAAAATAGAGGGAAAGTCCCCAGGACACCTGCTCAGACCTGAACACCAGAGCAAGAACTTCCTCCTCCTCTAGGCTGAGGTTCCCAGAACCGCAGAGTGTGATTTCACATGTTGGGCCTAGATCAGCACGCTTTTAAGGAACAATGCATTCCAGTGGAGAGCCTACATCTAGCCTTGGAGCAATAGACTGAGAGTCCAGCCCCTTTCACATCTTGTTCTGGGCAACTGAAGAAATTAAGAGCATGGACTCTGGAATCATCCGGCCTGGTTTTGTATCCCAGCAAGTCATTGTCTCTGAAGCCTTGGTTTTCTCGTCCACACAAATGAGGATCATAAAATTACTTACTTCACAGGGATGTTATGATGATTGAGGAGACAATACATATAAAGTGGTTGGCACAGTGCCTGACCTCATGGGGGAAATGCTAAGCTCCTCCCCTCTCTGGTCTGCTATTTCCTCACTGTCTTAGTTACCTAGTGTTGCTGTAACAGAAATACCACAAGTGGATGGCTTTAACAAGCAGAAATTTATTTTCCCATAGTTTAGGAGGCTAGAAGCCCAAATTCAGGGTGCCAGCTCTAGGGGAAGGCTTTCTCTTTCTATCAGCTCTGGGGGAAGTCTCTCGTCTCTTCAGCTTCTGTTTCCTGGTTCCTTGGCGATCTCCATGTGTTTTGGCATCTATCTTACCCCATCTCTGCTGCCTTTTTAATCTCTTTTTATATCTCAAAAGAGATGGACTCAAGATACACTCTACACTAATCCTGCCTTATTAACAGTAACAAAGACAATCCATTCCCAAATGGGATTATAACCATAGGCATAGAGGTTAGGATTTACAACACACATTTTTGGGGGACACAATTCAATCCATAACATTCTACCCTTGGGCCCCCCAAAATTCATGTCCTTGCCACATGCAAAACACATTCACCCCATCACATCATCCCAAAAATTTTAAATCAACTCCAAGTCCGAAATCTCATTTTCTGAATCATCTAAATCAAGTATAGGTGAGACTTTAGGCATATTCTGTCCTGGGACAAAATTCCTTTTCATCTTGAATCTGTGAAATCTAGACTACAAGTTGTCAATTTCTGAAGTGCAATGGTGGAATAGGTACAAGGTAGGCATTTCCATTATGAATGGGAGAAATTGGAGGAAAAGAAGGGCTAATGGGCACCAAGCAAGTCCAAAACCTAGCAGAACAAATTGCATTAGCTCTCAAGGCTTGAAAATAATCTTCTGTTCTCCAGACTCTGGGTGTTGGCCATGTTGTCTGGATTCTGGGTGGACACACCTCAGCCCTGGACTTCAGCTCCACCTTTCAGGCCCACTGGGACAGCAACTCTTCTCCTTCGGCTTTGGGTGGCCCCATTCTCTTACTCCATCCGAGTGGCAACCCCACCTCCTTGGCCCCGACAGACCCCATTCTTCTGCCCCTTGGGTGGCAGCCCCATACCCCAGCACATCTTAAAGGCAGCCTCACACTCCTTAACTGAATTGGTGAAGATCCAACTCTTTGAAACCTAGGAGGCTGTGGCCCCACCCTTTGACATCCAGGAGACTGTGGCCCCACCCTTTGAAACTGAGAAAGCCTTGCTTCCTGTGCTCCTTCCAACAGTTCTGCCGATCTCCAAGCTGCTCCAGGTATGGTCCTTTCTTCTCTTGGAAGACAACAGATATAGCTCCTTTGGCCTGTTTCCTGCCTGTAGAATTCCAAGAGGCAGACAGCATTCTTTCCTTTTGTTCTTTCTCTGCCCCTTTCAGTCTAAGCTGCTGGGTTTTCTGCTGTGGTAGTTGGTTAGATGCATCAGTCACAGGTTTAATCTCTTTAACAAAAGATTGTGTAGCCAAGTCTTTGGTGAACATCCTAGGACACATGTCCTTAGTTTGTACAACAAAATTTTCAAAATCTTTAAGTTCTGTTTTCATTTTTCACAGTTCATTTTTAAGTCCATCTCTTTCCTCTCACGTTTTACTTTAAGTAGCAAGGAGAAACCAGACAGGCTCCTTTAAGATCTTACTTAGAAATCTCCTCAGCCAGATATCCAAGTTCATCACTTACAAATTCTACCTGCCACCAAACACTTGAACATAATTCAGATAAGGTCTTTGCTAC